GTGGTGGTTGTGTTGGTGGTGCTGTGTGTACACTCACAGTGGTCGGAGCCGCAGTGGTGACGGCCCGCCAGGTGCATTGTGGGATGATTGTTGGCGTAGGCGGCAGCCAGAGACCGGAGCACCTCCACTCCAGGGCCTGCAACCACCACAACCACAACCACAACAATTACAACAACCACAACCACCACCATTACAACCACCACAACCACCACCACAACCACCACAACCACCACCACAACCATTACAACCACCACAACCACAACCACAACAATTACAACAACCACAACCACAACCACCACAACAATTACAACCACAACCACCACAACCACCACAACAATTACAACAACCACAACCACAACAATTACAACAACAATTACAACCACCACAACCACAACCACCACCACAACAACCACAACAACAATTACAACAACAACCACAACCACAACAATTACAACAACCACAACCACCACCACAACCATTACCACCCCACCACCAACCACACAACAATTACAACAACCACAACCACCACCACAACCACCACACCATTACAAACCACCACCACAACCACCACAACCACCACCACAACCACCACAACCATTACAACCACCACAACCACCACAACCACCACCACAACCACCACCACAACCACAACCACAACAACCATTACAACCACCACAACCACCACAACCATTACAACCACCACAACCACCACCACAACCATTACAACCACCACAACCACCACAACCACCACCACAACAATTACAACCACCACCACAACCACCACAACCACCAAAACAATTACAACCACCACAACCACCACAACCACCACCACAACAATTACAACCACCACAACCACCACAACAATTACAACCACTACCACAACCACTACCACAACCACCACAACCACCACCACCACAACCACCACAACAATTACAACAACCACAACCACCACCACTACCACAACCACAACCACCACAACCACCATAACCACCACAACCACCACAACCACCACCACCACCACAACCACCACAACCACCACAACCACCACCACAACCACAACCATTACAACCACCACAACCACCACCACAACCACCACCACAACCACCACAACCATTACAACCACCACCACCACCACAACCACCACAACCATTACAACCACCACAACCATTACAACCACCACAACCACCACCACAACCACCACCACAACCACAACCACCACCACAACCATTACAACCACCACCACAACCACCACAACCATTACAACCACCACCACAACCACCACAACCATTACAACCACCACAACCACCACCACAACCATTACAACCACCACAACCACCACCACAACCATTACAACAACCACAACCACCACAACGACCACCACAACCACCACCACAACCACCATTACAACAACCACAACCACCACCACAACCACCACCACAACCATTACAACCACCACAACCACCACAACCACCATCACTACAACCACCACAACCATTACAACCACCACACCACCACCACAACCACCACAACCACCACCACAACCATTACAACCACCACAACCACCACAACCATTACAACCACCACCACCACCACAACCACCACAACCACCACCACAACCATTACAACCACCACAACCACCACCACAACCATTACAACCACCACCATAACCATCACCACCACTACAACCACCACAACCACCACCACAACCATTACAACCACCACCACCATAACCATCACCACCACTACAACCACCACAACCACCACAACCAACACCACAACCACACACACACGCACAACCACACACACACACAACCACCACAACCACACACACAACCAACACAACCACACACACACAACCACTCACACACACACAAACCACTCACACACACACACAACCACTCGCACACACACACACAACCACCACAACCACACACACAACCACCACAACCACCGCAACCATTACAACCACCACAACCACCACCATAACCATCACCACCACTATAACCACCACAACAACCACCACCACAACCACCACAACAATTACAACAACCACCACAACCATTCCAACCACCACAGCCACTACCATAACCATCACCACCACTATAACCACCACAACCACCACCACAACCCATAACCATTACAACCACCACCATAATCATCACCACCATTACAACCACCACCACCTGCACCATCACAACCACAACACCACAACCATTACAACTATGACTATCACCACCACCACCAACATCATAACCCTCACCCCCCACTACCATCACCACCATCACCGCCACCACCATCATCACCACCACCACACCATCGTCACCACCACCACTACCATTACCATCATCACCACCACTGCCATCACTGCCACTACCATCATCACCACCGCCACCACCATCGTCACCACCACCACCACCATCACCACTACCATTACCATCATCACCACCACTACCATCATCACCACACCATCACCACCCACTCCACCACCATCATCATCACTAACACCACCACCATCACCACCACCATCACCACCACCACCACCATCATCACCACCACACCACCACCACCATCACCACCATCACCACCACACCACCACCACCACCATCACCACCACCACCACCACCATCATCATCACCATCATCACCACCACCATCATCACCACCACCATCATCACCACCACCACCACACCATCACCACCATCATCATCACCACCACCATCATCACCACCACCACCATCACCACCACCATCATCACCACCACCACCGCCACCACACAATCACCACCATCACCACCACACCATCACCAACACCACCATCATCACCACCACCACCACCACCACACCATCATCACCACCACCACTACCACCACCACCATCACCACTGTGGTGGTGGTGGTGAGTCCTTACCAGGCATCACCAGGGCAGGATTGTCCGGTGGGTGAGTTGTGACCACCACCACCACCACCATCATCACCACCATCACCACCACCATCACCACCACCACCACCACCATCACCACCATCATCACCACCACCACCACCACCATCACCACCATCACCACCACCACCACCATCACCACCACCATCACCACCACCACTGTGGTGGTGGTGGTGGTGAGTCCTTACCAGGCATCACCAGGGCAGGATTGTCCGGTGGGTGAGTGGTGAGCACCACCACCATCATCACCACACCATCACCACCATCACCACCACCACACCATCACCACCATCACCACCATCACTACCACCACCACCATCACCACTGTGGTGGTGGTGAGTCCTTACCAGGCATCACCAGGGCAGGATTGTCCGGTGGGTGAGTGGTGAGCATCACCACCACCACCATCACCACTGTGGTGGTGGTGATGGTGGTGGTGAGTCCTTACCAGGCATCACCAGGGCAGGATTGTCCGGTGGGTGAGTGGTGAGCACCACCACCATCACCACCACCATCACCACCACTGTGGTGGTGGTGATGGTGGTGGTGAGTCCTTACCAGGCATCACCAGGGCAGGATTGTCCGGTGGGTGAGTGGTGAGCACCACCATCATCATCACCACCATCACCACCACTGTGGTGGTGGTGGTGAGTCCTTACCAGGCATCACCAGGGCAGGATTGTCCGGTGGGTGAGTGGTGAGCACCACCATCACCATCACCACCACTGTGGTGCTGGTGGTGATGGTGGTGGTGAGTCCTTACCAGGCATCACCAGGGCAGGATTGTCCGGTGGGTGAGTGGTGAGCAGCGCTCCGACACTGAGGGTGAGTGCGGCGGTGAAATTTGTGCGGCCCAGCAGGAGGCCCAGGCCCAGAGCCTGCGTCTCGGCCTGGAGGACCCGGCCAGCCGAGGAGTTCCCTACGGGGGGGGAGGGGAGAGGGCACGGGGGGTGGGGGTGGGGGAGATGCAGGAGAGATGGAGAGAGGGGAGATGGTGATGCTGATGATGATCTTGATGATGTTGATGATGATCTTGATGATCATGATGATGATGATCATGATGATGTTGTTGATGATCATCATGATGCTGATGATGTTGTTGATGATGATGTTGATGATCATGATGATGATGATGCTGATGTTGATGATGATGATGCTGATACTGATGATGTTGATGATGATGTTGATGATCATGATGATGATGATGCTGATGTTGATGATGATGATCATGATGATGATGCTGATCTGATGATGTTGATGATGACGATGATCGTGATGCTGATGCTGATGATCTTTATGATCATGATGATGATGACCGTGATGCTGATGATGATGATGCTGATGATTACGTCGATGATCAAGATGATCGTGATGCCGATGATCGCGATGCCGATGATGCCGATGACGATATCGATCGTGATGCCGATTGCGCTGCTGATGAAGTTCACGGCGACGATCGCCGGTGATCGTAGTGGCGGTGCCAGCGGCATCACCGCACCGGTGAAATCGGTGTCCAGGTCGATCCCGAGGGCGTTGAGCGTCCCCGCATCTCCGTCGCCGCAATTCCCCTCCCTAGCCACGGCACGGCCGTCGGGGTTCACCACGGGGAGCACGGTGAGACGTGTGGAGTTCACCAGCTGGGGGAGACACGGGGAGAGACACGGGGAGACACGGGGTGAGACACGGTGAGACACGGGGAGACACGATGAGACACGGTGAGACGTGTGGAGTTCACCAGCTGGGGGAGACACGGGGAGAGACACGGGGAGAGACACGGGGAGACACGGGGAGAGACACGGGGAGACACGGGGAGAGACACGGGGAGACACGGTGAGACGTGTGGAGTTCACCAGCTGGGGGAGACACGGGGAGAGACACGGGGAGACACGGTGAGACACGGTGAGACACGGTGAGACGTGTGGAGTTCACCAGCTGGGGGAGACACGGGGAGACACGGGGAGACACGGGGAGACACGGGGAGACACGGGGAGACACGGTGAGACGTGTGGAGTTCACCAGCTGGGGGAGACACGGGGAGAGACACGGGGAGACACGGGGAGACACGGGGAGACACGGGGAGACACGGGGTTCACCACGGGGAGCACGGTGAGACGTGTGGAGTTCACCAGCTGGGGGAGACACGGGGAGAGACACGGGGAGACACGGGGAGACGTGTGGAGTTCACCAGCTGGGGGAGACACGGGGAGACACGGGGAGACACGGGGAGACACGGGGAGAGACACGGGGTGAGACACGGGGAGAGACACGGGGAGAGACGGGGAGTTCACCAGCTGGGGGAGACACGGGGAGACACGGGGAGACACGGGGAGACACGGGGAGAGACACGGTGAGACGTGTGGAGTTCACCAGCTGGGGGAGACACGGGGAGAGACACGGGGAGACACGGGGAGAGACACGGGGAGAGACACGGGGAGACACGGGGAGAGACACGGGGAGACACGGGGAGAGACACGGGGAGACACGGGGTGAGACACGGGGAGACGTGTGGAGTTCACCAGCTGGGGGAGACACGGGGAGAGACACGGGGAGAGACACGGTGAGACGTGTGGAGTTCACCAGCTGGGGGAGACACGGGGAGACACGGGGAGACACGGGGAGACACGGGGTGAGACACGGGGAGACGCGTGGAGTTCACCAGCTGGGGGAGACACGGGGAGACACGGGGAGACACGGGGAGACACGGGGAGAGACACGGTGAGACGTGTGGAGTTCACCAGCTGGGGGAGACACGGGGAGAGACACGGGGAGAGACACGGGGAGACACGGTGAGACACGGTGAGACACGGGGAGAGACACGGTGAGACGTGTGGAGTTCACCAGCTGGGGGAGACACGGGGAGAGACCACGGGGAGAGACGGGGAGAGACACGGGGAGACACGGGGAGACACGGTGAGACACGGTGAGACACGGGGAGACACAGGGAGACACGGGGAGCACGGTGAGACGTGTGGAGTTCACCAGCTGGGGGAGACACGGGGAGAGACACGGGGAGAGACACGGGGAGAGACACGGGGAGAGACACGGGGAGCACGGTGAGACACGGGGAGACACGGTGAGACGCGTGGAGTTCACCAGCTGGGGGAGACACGGGGAGACACGGGGAGACACGGGGAGACACGGGGAGAGACACGGGGAGACACGGGGAGACACGTGGAGTTCACCAGCTGGGGGAGACACGGGGAGACACGGGGAGAGACACGGGGAGACACGGGGAGAGACACGGTGAGACGCGTGGAGTTCACCAGCTGGGGGAGACACGGGGAGACACGGGGAGACACGGTGAGACACGGGGAGTTCACCAGCTGGGGGAGACACACGGGGTGAGACACGGGGAGAGACACGGGGTGAGACACGGGGAGCACGGTGAGACGCGTGGAGTTCACCAGCTGGGGGAGACACACGGGGTGAGACACGGGGAGAGACACGGGGAGACACGGTGAGACCACGGTGAGACACGGGGAGAGACACGGTGAGACGTGTGGAGTTCACCAGCTGGGGAGACACGGGGAGAGACACGGGGAGAGACGGGGAGAGACACGGGGAGACACGGGGAGACACGGTGAGACACGGTGAGACACGGGGAGACACAGGGAGACACGGGGAGCACGGTGAGACGTGTGGAGTTCACCAGCTGGGGGAGACACGGGGAGACACGGGGAGACACGGGGAGACACGGGGAGAGACACGGGGAGACACGGGGAGAGACACGGGGAGACACGGGGAGACACGTGGAGTTCACCAGCTGGGGGAGACACGGGAGACACGGGGAGAGACACGGGGAGACACGGGGAGAGACACGGTGAGACGCGTGGAGTTCACCAGCTGGGGGAGACACGGGGAGACACGGGGAGACACGGGGTGAGAGACGTGAGACACGGGGAGACACGGTAAGACACGGGGAGTTCACCAGCTGGGGGAGAGACAGGGTGAGACACGGGGTGAGACACGGGGAGCACGGTGAGACGCGTGGAGTTCACCAGCTGGGGGACACACGGGGAGAGACACGGGGAGACACGGGGAGACACGGTGAGACACGGGGAGACACGGTGAGACACGTGGAGACACGGTGAGACACGGGGAGCACGTGAGACGCGTGGAGTTCACCAGCTGGGGGAGACACGTGGAGACACGGTGAGACACGGGGAGACAACGGGGAGAGACACGGGGAGACACGGTGAGACGCGTGGAGACACGGTGAGACCACGGGGAGAGAGACACGGGGAGAGACACAGGGAGACACGGGGAGACACGGGGTGAGACACGGGGTGAGACACGGGGAGACACGCGGGGAGAGACACGTGGGGAGACACGGGGAGACACGGGGAGACATGGGGAGAGACACGGGGGGAGACACGGGGAGTTCACCAGCTGGGGGAGACACGGGGGGAGAGACACGGGGAGACACGGGAGAGATACGGGGGGAGACGGAGAGACACGGGGAGACACGGGGAGACACGGGGAGACACGGGGAGACACGTGGGGAGAGACGGTGAGACGCGTGGAGTTCACCAGCTGGGGGAGACACGGGGAGAGACACGGGGAGAGACACGGTGAGACGTGTGGAGTTCACCAGCTGGGGGAGACACGGGGAGACACGGGGAGAGACACGGGGTGAGACACGGTGAGACGCGTGGGGAGAGACACGGTGAGACACGGGGAGAGACACGGTGAGACACGGGGAGACACGGGGAGACGCGTGGAGTTCACCAGCTGGGGGAGACACGGGGAGACACGGGGAGAGACACGGGGAGAGACACGGGGAGAGACACGGGGTGAGACACGGGTGAGACACGGGGAGAGACACGGGGAGAGACACGGGGTGAGACACGGGGTGAGACACGGGTGAGACACGGGGAGAGACACGGGGAGAGACACGGGGTGAGACACGGGGTGAGACGCGGGGAGAGACACGGTGAGACACGGGGAGAGACACGGGGTGAGACACGGGGAGAGACACGGGGAGAGACACGGGGAGAGACACGGGGTGAGACACGGGGAGAGACACGGGGAGAGACAACGGGGTGAGACACGGGGTGAGACACGGTGAGACGCGTGGGGAGAGACACGGTGAGACACGGGGAGAGACACGGTGAGACACGGGGAGACACGGGGAGACGCGTGGAGTTCACCAGCTGGGGGAGACACGGGGAGACAACGGGGAGAGACACGGGGAGAGACACGGGGAGAGACACGGGGTGAGACACGGGTGAGACACGGGGAGAGACACGGGGAGAGACACGGGGTGAGACACGGGGTGAGACACGGGTGAGACACGGGGAGAGACACGGGGAGAGACACGGGGTGAGACACGGGGTGAGACGCGGGGAGAGACACGGTGAGACACGGGGAGAGACACGGGGGTGAGACACGGGGAGAGACACGGGGTGAGACACGGGGAGAGACACGGGGTGAGACACGGGGAGAGACACGGGGAGAGACACGGGGTGAGACACGGGGTGAGACGCGGGGAGAGACACGGGGTGAGACACGGGGGGAGACACGGGGGGAGACGCGGGGTGAGACGCGGGGAGAGACACGGGGAGAGACACGGGGGGAGACACGGGGAGAGACACGGGGTGAGACGCGGGGTGAGACGCGGGGAGAGACACGGGTGAGGACACGGGGGGAGACACGGGGAGAGGAGACGGGGAGAGACACGGGGAGAGACACGGGGGGAGAGACACGGGGAGAGACACGGGGTGAGCCACGGGGAGAGACACGGGGAGAGACACGGGGAGAGACGCGGGGAGAGACACGGGGTGAGACACGGGGGGAGACACGGGGAGAGAGACGGGGTGAGCCACGGGGAGAGACACGGGGAGAGACACGGGGAGAGACACGGGGAGAGACACGGGGAGAGACACGGGGTGAGACACGGGGAGAGACACGGGGAGAGACACGGGGTGAGACACGGGGAGAGACACGGGGAGAGACACGGGGAGAGACACGGGGAGAGACACGGGGTGAGACACGGGGTGAGACACGGGGAGAGACACGGGAGAGACACGGGGAGAGACACGGGGGGAGACACGGGGGGAGAGACACGGGGTGAGACACGTGGGGGGAGGGGTCACGTGGGGGGAGGGGTCACGTGGGGGAGGGGTCACGTGGGGGGAGGGGTCACGTGGGGGGGGGGGGGTCACGTGGGGGTCACCGCCGTGAGGCCGTCGTCGTTGCCGTAGCGACGGCACAGGAAGCCGGCGAGCTCCAGCAGCAGCTCGGAGGTGGCGCCGCGTCGCCTCGCACCGCCCCCAACAGCAGGAGACGAGGCGGCGGGGACAGGGAGGGGGAGGCTGGGGGGGAGAAGGGGGCAGAGGGGTGGTGGTGAGGGTGGTGGTGGTGGTGAGGGTGATGAGGGTGGTGTGGTGAGGGTGGTGAGGGTGTTGGTGGTGGTGGTGGTGAGGGTGGTGGTGGTGAGGGTGGTGAGGGTGGTGGTGGTGGTGAGGGTGGTGGTGGTGAGGGTGGTGAGGGTGGTGGTGGTGAGGGTGGTGGTGAGGGTGGTGGTGGTGAGGGTGGTGGTGGGGGTGGTGGTGGTGAGGGTGGTGGTGGTGGGTGAGGGTGGTGGTGGTGAGGGTGGTGGTGGTGGGTGGTGAGGGTGGTGGTGGTGGTGAGGGTGATGAGGGTGGTGGTGGTGAGGGTGGTGAGGGTGGTGGTGGTGGTGGTGGTGAGGGTGGTGGTGGTGGTGGTGGTGGTGAGGGTGGTGTGGTGAGGGTGGTGAGGGTGGTGGTGGTGAGGGTGGTGGTGAGGGTGGTGGTGGTGAGGGTGGTGGTGAGGGTGGTGGTGGTGAGGGTGGTGGTGGTGAGGGTGGTGGTGGTGGGAGGGTGGTGGTGGTGAGGGTGGTGGTGGTGGTGAGGGTGGTGGTGGTGGTGGTGGTGAGGGTGGTGGTGGTGAGGGTGGTGGTGGTGAGGGTGGTGGTGGTGAGGGTGGTGGTGAGGGTGGTGGTGAGGGTGGTGGTGGTGAGGGTGGTGGTGAGGGTGGTGGTGGTGAGGGTGGTGGTGAGGGTGGTGGTGGTGAGGGTGGTGGTGGTGAGGGGTGGTGGTGAGGGTGGTGGTGAGGGTGGTGGTGAGGGTGGTGGTGAGGGTGGTGGTGAGGGTGGTGGTGAGGGTGGTGGTGGTGAGGGTGGTGGTGAGGGTGGTGGTGAGGGTGGTGGTGAGGGTGGTGGTGAGGGGTGGTGGTGAGGGTGGTGCTGAGGGTGAGGGTGGTGAGGGTGGTGGTGAGGGTGGTGAGGGTGGTGGTGAGGGTGGTGAGGGTGGTGGTGGTGGTGGTGAGGGTGGTGGTGAGGGTGGTGAGGGTGGTGGTGAGGGTGGTGAGGGTGGTGGTGGTGAGGGTGGTGGTGGTGAGGGTGGTGGTGAGGGTGGTGAGGGTGGTGGTGAGGGTGGTGGTGGTGAGGGTGGTGGTGAGGGTGGAGGTGGTGAGGGTGGTGGTGGAGGTGGTGGTGAGGGTGGTGGTGGTGGTGAGGGTGGTGGTGAGGGTGGTGGTGAGGGTGGTGGTGAGGGTGGTGGTGAGGGTGGTGGTGGTGAGGGTGGTGGTGAGGGTGTTGGTGGTGAGGGTGTTGGTGAGGGTGGTGGTGAGGGTGGTGGTGAGGGTGGTGGTGGTGAGGGTGGTGGTGGTGAGGGTGGTGGTGAGGGTGGTGGTGAGGGTGGTGGTGAGGGTGGTGGTGAGGGTGGTGGTGAGGGTGGTGGTGAGGGTGGTGGTGAGGGTGGTGGTGAGGGTGGTGGTGAGGGTGGTGGTGAGGGTGGTGGTGGGGGTGGTGGTGAGGGTGGTGGTGAGGGTGGTGAGGGTGGTGGTGGTGAGGGTGGTGTGGTGAGGGTGGTGGTGGTGAGGGTGGTGGTGGTGGTGAGGGTGGTGGTGAGGGTGGTGGTGAGGGTGGTGGTGGTGAGGGTGGTGGTGGTGAGGGTGGTGAGGGTGGTGAGGGTGGTGGTGAGGGTGGTGGTGAGGGGTGGTGGTGGTGGTGAGGGGTGGTGGTGAGGGTGGTGGTGAGGGTGGTGGTGGAGGGGTGGGGTGGTGGTGAGGGTGGTGGTGAGGGTGGTGAGGGTGGTGAGGGTGGTGGTGAGGGTGAGGGTGGTGAGGGTGGTGGGGTGGTGGTGGTGGTGAGGGTGGTGGTGGTGAGGGTGGTGAGGGTGGTGGTGGTGGTGAGGGTGGTGGTGGTGAGGGTGGTGAGGGTGAGGTGTGGTGAGGTGGGTGGTGAGGGTGGTGGTGGTGAGGGGTGGTGAGGGTGGTGGTGGTGAGGGTGGTGGTGGTGAGGGTGGTGGTGGTGGTGAGGGTGGTGGTGGTGAGGGTGGTGGTGGTGGTGGTGAGGGTGGTGGTGGTGGTGAGGGTGGTGAGGGTGGTGGTGGTGTGGGTGGTGAGGGTGGGGGTGGTGGGGTGGTGAGGGTGGTGGTGGTGAGGGTGGTGAGGGTGGTGGTGGTGGTGAGGGTGGTGGTGGTGAGGGTGGTGAGGGTGGTGGTGGTGAGGGTGGTGAGGGTGGTGGTGGTGAGGGGGGTGGTGAGGGGTGGTGGTGGTGAGGGTGGTGGTGAGGGTGGTGGTGGTGAGGGTGGTGTGTGAGGGTGGTGGTGTGGTGAGGGTGGTGGTGGTGAGGGTGGTGGTGGTGAGGGTGGTGGTGGTGGTGGGTGTGTGGTGGAGGGTGGTGGTGGTGAGGGTGGTGGTGGTGAGGGTGGTGGTGGTGAGGGTGGTGGTGAGGGTGGTGGGTGAGGGTGGTGGTGGTGAGGGTGGTGGTGAGGGTGGTGGTGGTGAGGGGTGGTGGTGAGGGTGGTGGTGGTGAGGGTGTGGGTGGTGAGGGTGGTGGGTGAGGGTGGTGGTGAGGGTGGTGGTGAGGGTGTGGTGGTGAGGGTGGTGGGTGAGGGTGGTGAGGGTGGTGAGGGTGGTGGTGAGGGTGGTGGTGAGGGTGGTGGTGGTGGTGAGGGGGGTGGTGAGGGTGGTGGTGAGGGTGGGTGGTGAGGGGTGGGGGTGGTGGTGAGGGTGGTGGTGAGGGTGGTGAGGGTGGTGAGGGTGGTGGTGAGGGTGAGGGTGGTGAGGGTGGTGGTGGTGGTGGTGGTGAGGGTGGTGGTGGTGAGGGTGGTGAGGGTGGTGGTGGTGGTGAGGGTGGTGTGGTGAGGGTGGTGATGGTGGTGGTGGTGAGGGGTGGTGGTGAGGGTGGTGGTGGTGAGGGTGGTGGTGAGGGTGGTGGTGGTGAGGGTGGTGGTGGTGAGGGTGGTGGTGGTGGTGAGGGTGGTGGTGGTGAGGGTGGTGGTGGTGGTGGTGAGGGTGGTGGTGGTGGTGAGGGTGATGAGGGTGGTGGTGGTGAGGGTGGTGAGGGTGGTGGTGGTGGTGGTGGTGAGGGTGGTGGTGGTGAGGGTGGTGAGGGTGGTGGTGGTGGTGAGGGTGGTGGTGGTGAGGGTGGTGAGGGTGGTGGTGGTGAGGGTGGTGGTGAGGGTGGTGGTGGTGAGGGTGGTGGTGAGGGTGGTGGTGGTGAGGGTGGTGGTGGTGAGGGTGGTGGTGGTGGTGAGGGTGGTGGTGGTGAGGGTGGTGGTGGTGGTGAGGGTGGTGGTGGTGGTGGTGGTGAGGG